TTTAGTCCTTTCCATTATCAGTATTTTCCTTTTACGTTTTCTATAAGCAATGCCAAATATATGTTATTCTTTTTTTCTAGGTAAATACCTAATCCAGAGCAGAATTAAAGTTGACATCTACATATTTGCCCGAATTGCCAGGCAGTCTGATGTGTGAAGCCTCCACTGTAATGAACTGGAAATGTGGTGCCTGGAAACCCAGGTTTCTACACATGGCTTCTACACTTTGGCAACATTCTGATCGGTCTGCTTCCATCCAGATCCATGTGACAGGAAAAAACTTATTTGTATTTTTAACCCACCCCCCGACCCCTAAGATTGTAGGTCTTGTTAACTAGATGATCTTTTCTTTGCAGAGTACACGTACACCCATCTATTTTCCTGCAATGGCCTTCGACTCTATGAGATAGTATTAAGTAATGGGTGAGGTTGTGTAAACTTGGAGAGAGAAGATGAGACTGGGCAAAATTATTCCACAGATGAGTAACTGGTCTCTGAAGTAGGGGAGTGATCATGTGTGTATGCCTGTATATGTAAATGTATTGAAATCTTTCATCTGCTGTTCTTTTCTAGGCTATTCTCTTTATCCTTGAGGTGCCTATTCCTTTAAAAAATTACTTTATTGTCAATTTAGTGGACTCTTAGGAGGAAAAGTAGATACATTCACCTTTAACTGAAACAATCTGTCATCTTTAAATGAAAGGTCTCCTCTGACTTTCTTTTTCCCATGCTTGATATTAATGCCAACAAAATTTCTTTGTAATAACTTTATTGAGATATAAATTACCCACCATAAAACTGAGTCTCTTAAAGTGTACTATTCAATGGTTTTTAGTATATTCACAGAATATGCTAAAGGTATATACACAGAATATACATCACCACTATCAAATTTTAGAACATTGTTGTGATGCCAGAAAGAAACCCTACACCTGCCGCCCACCTCCTCCCCTCCCCCCTTCCCTTCACCAGAAGCCTCCTGACTTAAACAGAAACCCCTTTTGCTTCTGCAAGGACGCAGTTCTGCACCCCGATCCACATTAGCATAATGACCCTCCCAGATGGTATCACCCAGTTCTTCGTGCCAACATACCAATGTAAGTTCTACCACCCCCACACCTGGTGCTGTCCCCTTTCCAGGGCAGCCCTGGGCTGCCTGCCACTTTGAGCACAGCCCAGCAGATTTCATTCTTTAATAAAGCTTGAACGGTACCCGGCATCTTGGCTCACTTTCTTTCAAAGCGATTCTACTCCTGGGGAATGAAGTGCAGAGGTAAAACTCAGTCTGATCTAGCGTAGCTGGCATTTTGTGATTATTTTTCCTATTCTTCTGTGACTCCATATTTTGAAAGAAAACTAATTGATGTTTTGTTTATTCTTATGTAGTTTATAAAACACTTTGTGCCCAGACATTCCAGTAGGATTTTATTAAAATGTTGTCCCTCCACCATCTCTCTAGAGCCTAAGCTGTAGTTTATCATGAATTATTTAAGATTTCCAAGCCCAACTATTCAACAATTTTGCTTGTTTGTTTATTGATTCAGGAAACATTTCTTAAATATTTACATGTATGAGACACTATGTTAGGTGCTCTGTAATAATGATGTTATTAGTAGCTAACTTTGTAGGAATGCACTGATCAAAGCATGTGTTCCAAGGTCAGACTGTTCATGTTTGAATCACAGCTCAGTTATGTGGTAGGTGGGTGAACATGGACAAGTTAATCAATCTCTCTGTTTCAGTCTAGTCAGCTGTAACTGGGGGTGTTTTAGATTCCTATTGCTGATATAACAGATCACCACAAATTTTGTCACTTAAAACAATACAAATTTTTTCTCACTGTTCTGTGGGTCAGAAGTGTGTGGACTCAGCTGGTTCCTCTACTCCAGGTCTCACGAGGCCAGAATCAAGGCAACAGTCATCCTGGGCTCTTTTCTTACTGCTCTAGGAGAGAATCTATTTCCAGATTTATTTGGATTGTTCACAGTTCAGTTCTGTGCAGTTGTAAGGCTGATTCCCTGTTTTTTTGCTGGCTTTTCAGCTTTTAGAGGCTGCCCACATTCTCGGACTTGTGACCTTTCTTTATCTTCAGAGTCAGCAACAGCTCATCGTACTATCTAATAGATTAGCAAGTTTTCATAAATCTTTTTGTGAGGCTTAATGTGGGGGAAAAGCTACATGGATAAACCTGGTACTGTGAGGCTGAATATTTTGGTTTTTTTCATGGCTGACCTTCTCATGGCTCTGAGATACACTGTAATAGAGATTAGGATTTTGCCAGTTGTTTTAATTTATTTTCTCCTTGAGGCTAAGATTATAAATACAATCTTTCTTCACGGCAATTGAAAAGTCAAGGCACGTGACAAGCACTAGGATAAATGTCAAGATGAGAGGTGCCATCCTGGGATATATCCTGTGATATAGGTGCGGCATTGCTGACTATGATCATAATCTTATTTTAATGAGAGCAAATATTTGTCACATAGTTCAATTTTTGCTATTTAACCTGGAACAAAAGATATTTCTCCCTCAATTACTTTTGCCTCTTGAGAACATATTTAGTGATTCTTCCCTTCATGCCATGAAGGATTTTGTATTATTTTGTTAAGTATGAAACTCTTTGAAACTATCTGTCTCTCTTCCCATTATTTGTCAATTTTATTTCCTGGAAAAAATTATCATATTTCAAAAATTGGAAGTAAATGATAAAAGTGCTGCTGCTTTTTCAAAGATCTTATTGTCATAAATTCTTAACTGTTTTGAATATTTGTTTTATTTGATGTGGTGTCTTCACACATTGCCTGCCTTAGGGTTTGAGGTTTCACTACAGGGCCAGAAGGCCAGAAGCCTGCTGTCAAGGCTGTTGGAATGCTGTTGCTTGTATATTTAAATGCTTGGAATTAGACCACAATTCTAAACAGAGAGCACACACCCATGAAAACATTCAGATACACTTTGAATTAGTCACCTTGGTAAAAGAAAGAAAAGCAAAATAGGATTACATTTTCTCTTGGTTCGTATTTGTTTATTTTTATAATATAAAGGCATGAGCAATAGTCTTCAATTAGTTGTTAGTCACTCCAAACTTATTTCCATTTCTTATGTATCCCTGCTAGTTAAGATCATAGTGCATAGACTAGTCAGTTGGCTGAGTTGGTCAGAGCACAGCCTTGTAACAACAAGGTCAAGGGTTTGGTTCCCTCTCACTGCCCAGCGGCAAAAAGTTTTTAAAAAATGGTGCAGTGGAAAATAATGTCATCATAAGCAATACCACTTAAGTCATATGGGTAGTGGGTGGCAGAACCAGGATCCCCATCTAGGAAGTGGCTCCTGAACCTGCATTCTGATCCTGTGCTCTGCAGCTACTTAGTCACTATGCGTGACTTTCTGTGTTTTCATTTTCTGTCCATGGCATTATGTTACTCATGTATTTTGTAACACTGACTAATCCTTTTTTTGTATCTCATTAGCCTCACTTTTCTGTTTTTTATTGACTTGACTTGCTAAAGCTGACCTATCCAAGGAATCCAATATGTGTATAATTATAACTGGATTAAATTTCATTCTCTTAGATGTCAAAGGGATGGATTTTGATTATTCTTCTAAACTATTTGCTGTAAAAGATTTGTATTTTCCTCTGGAATAAAAAGCAGTATGTGGGGCCGGCCCGGTGGTGCACTGGATAGTGCGCCGCTTGGGAAGCGCGGCGGCGCTCCCGCCCGAGGGTTCGGATCCCACATACAGACCGGTTCCCGCTCATTGGCTGAGCGAGGCGCGGGAGCAGCACCGAGGGTTGCGATCCCGTTGCCAGTCCCCGGTCCGGTACGGGGGCATCACTGAGGGTTGCGATCCGTTGCCGGACACGGAAAAAGACAAAAGACAAAAAAAAAAAGCAGTACGCGAAGTTACATAAACTAGCAACTTTACTATATTTAGGTATTGGCGAAACAAATCTTTGAGACTTGAGGGAAACTTTTCATGTGTGTGCCTATGAATTTTAGCATTATCAGAGATTTTGGGTATATATGCAAGGTTATTAGGCAAGGTTTTGTATGAGAGTCACATATCGAATTCTGAACTACATGATGTGTTAGATATTGTTAAAGTTATTCATTCTGATGCTTATTAAAGAATGGTAAGGCAGATTTTATTCAGGACTATCACAGTAGGTATAGGGACTACTGCATTGCAGTTTTCCAGTGGCATAGAGAGATTGGGCTTAACTTGAAATACAAGGAAAAGTGGGAATTTTATGGCCAAGGAGCAGGTGGGGAGTCATTGGATGGAAATTTACTAAGAGGAAACATCAGGGGTAAGAGGAGATTGTGGTTAAACCAATCTAACATGTTTCTTGCTGAAGGCAGGAATTTAGTCAGATATCAAGGATAATCAGGAATCAAGGGTGAAGTATTTTGGCTAAACTAGCTTAGCAGGATTCTTGCTAAAATTGGACTCTTGAGGACGTACCAAATACAGGGCCTAATTAAAAAAAGAGCTCAGAGGATGCTAGCTAGAATTTGGTCAAGGAGAGAATCTCTGTCAGGATTAGAAAGCTATATAGAAATTAAAACTTCCTTCAGTTTTCTCTGTGCACTCCATCCTAATCACTAAATTTAGTGTCTCTCGTGGTGACCCTGGAAGGTCACTCAAAACAAATTTTATTGAACCAAGAGATTCTTGTTTTTGACAAACTTGAAGACAAAAATCAAATGGAAGATTCCACAAGGGATTAGCCTAACCATTATCATAATTTTAGGAAAGAAAACACAAAATCGAACTATAAATTTATATATTTCACTGCATAAAGCTGGCAGTTTTCAGGATTTCTTGAATAAGTTAGTAATTCTTTAACATAAAAGAGTCAAGTTCTCAAGGCCTATCTCAGTCTCTAAGGATATTTTTTTCTGAATGAAATGTTAGAATTTATTATACCTGTGTGCTTTTGTTGTTGTTACTGTGAAATATGTCTAAGAGCATTTTTTATTTTTATTTTTTTCCAGATGGCACAAATGATGTTCAGGAGAGTAGCTTAAGAGACTTAATAAAAGAGCTGCCAGACACCCACTACTGCCTCCTCAAGTACCTTTGCCAGTTCTTGACAAAAGTAGCCGAGCATCATGTGCAGAATCGCATGAGTGTTCACAATCTTGCCACTATATTTGGGCCAAATTGCTTTCAGTAAGTTAGTGGAGTTTTGCTGTTTATATTATCCTCTCCTTTTCCATTTGCTACTGTCTGAAATAGGGATGTAAAAGTATATTTCAACCTGAAAAATGAGTGTTGGAGAAGTTCCATCTTGCTCTTGGGCATTTTAGCCTTGTTTTTCATCCCAGTTTTGAAGAAGGCAGATAAGCCTTTTTGTAAAACCATAATTGGCACTAATTCAAATAACATTATTTAAAATTCTGGAAATAAGTTTTATTTTCACTAACAAGGGCATTTAAAAAAATCTGTAAACTGAAATGTTGACTAGCAGAAATGGAAAGAGTATGATACAGTAATTTTATATATAGTGATAGAGTGAAATAGTGATAGAGTTTAGATTATTGCTAATAGATGGAAAATTATAAGCAGAACATGTCAATGACAGAAAAATATAACCTCAACTTCATTTATTTGTTTTCTAGAAATAGACTGCAAATAATCTAGTTTACTTTGGTAGGTGTTGTATCACTAGCTGCAGAAACTTTTGTAAAGCTTTGTATTTTATTTTCCCTGTTAAAGCTTTTTAATTGTTGATATATGAAACATGATCTTGCAATCCAGGGACCTGACTTTTAACTCTCCTATTAATCCTCTGTGATATCAAATATGTTCCCTCTAGTTAAAAGAAGAGAGAGAAAGAGAGAAAACACTCACACTGTAAAAGCTCCCAGAAATTCTGAGCAAGTTTTTTTTACAGTGTATCTGCTTCTCCACTCCATTAATTAATCTACAGGCTCATTCAGCTGCCCAGACCTACTAATATTGCAGTCCTCAGAATGACTGTCTAAATATAGATTCTGGCTTAGTTCATAGTAACTGCAGGGTTCCAGGCCATTTAAAGTTTAATTTGGGGAGAAGTTCTACCTTAATAACTGTCCCAATTGTAAATTTAAAGATGTTAACTTTTAAATTATGGTATTGCATAGGATATGTTAGGATCTCCTGAAAAAAATCTCAAACACAGGCCCCCATTAATTTCTTACCTTATTCAGGAGCTTTGTGATAGTAAAAAGTCTGTGTTTGTTCTTTTTCACTCCTGCCTGCCCAGTACACCTTTGTTTGGTGACCTACATGTGAGAAATAAAGGTGTAAGTAGAAAATTACTTAATAATTTTGAAACCCTAAATTCTAGAAGAGGTGAAAATGAATTTGTAAATAGAATGCTTCTTTAATGAGCATTAAACCCAGATCCATACCTCATTGCTGACTTATAAATTGGGCTTGATCAAGAATTCCTGGTAACTGGCTCCAATTAGTCAATCAAAATATCAGTAAGTAATGTGTTTTATGTGTTTTATTATAGGTTGTACAAATTAGTATGGTTTAAAAATTTTTTATTGTGGTAAAATATATGTAACATAAAGTTTACCATTTTAACCATTTTTAAGTGTAAAGTTTAGTGGTATTAAGACATTCACATGTTGGGATCTACTAATTGGTATGTATTTCTAAACTTATGGATATAGAAATCACTGCAAGGGACTTTCCTCACTGAAATGAAGTATAGTTGAAACAGGTAAGGTTTATGAGCACTTACCAAGTAGTATACTGTCTTATTTATCTGATTGAATTCTAAAGGGAAGGAAGTGATTTATTTTGTGCTTGAAATTCCTCTGTCTAACTCAAGAAAAAGTAGACACTTCAATTCCAGTGACCACAGTTAATCCATAAATGTTTTAAAGACAATTAGTGGAAACCTGCCGTTCAAATACAGTTCTCTCACCATGAACCACTGAAAGACAAAACAAAGGAAAGTATATTTTAGCTATGTTTATAAGGGGGGAAAAAAACAGCTAGCTTTTATGTAGTGCTTACTGTATACCAGGCACAGTTATGCCAGGCAAAGAACAGTTAAAAGTTTGCTCATTTAATTTTATATATATGCATATATATCAAAGGGTTTAATATAAAACTATATAATGATAACCATGTCCAGTTTGGTATCAGGTTTATGCTAGCTTCCTAAAATAGGTTAGAAAGCTTTCGTAATTTTCTATTCTCTGTGGCTGTACATATCTCATGGATTTTTCTATTCCTTGAGCTGTCTGCAGCTGATACCTTTTTGGAGGGTAGAGTTCTGATACCTTTTCAATTTCTCCCATGAATTTTGTTGATTTAGGTTTTTTACTACTTAAGCTAATTTTAATATTTTGGTAAATTCTGTTTACCTAGAAGACCAGTCATTTCATGTAGTTTTTGAATTGTATGTGGTATAAGGTTGTACAAGAATTATTTTTAAATTTTAAATTTTCTTATATGTTATTACATCTTTTTTCTCTTTTCTAATGTTAATTTTGCCTTCTCACTATTTGTCTTGATCAGAGTAGCCACATTTTTGTCTATTTGTTGTTGTTCTCAAAGAATCCATTTTTAATTTTATTGAATAAATTTGCTTTAAACTTTTTTCTATTTCATTAATTTCTATTTTTGTTTTTATTAATTTATTTGAACTTAGTTGTTTTTCAAGATTTTTCCCAACTTTTTATTATGAAAAAATGTAGTCATATGATTTGAAAGAATAGTGTAATGATCATAGATTTTTTTTGTTAATTAGATAAAATAGTATACTTTATCTCTGTACATATATATAAATATATACTTTTTGTTGAACCGTTTGAAAATAAGTTGCAGACCTTGGCTTTTTTTTTTTCCTACAAAATACTTAATAGTGCATTTCTTAAAAATAAGGACTTTTTGGGCTGGCCCAGTGGCGCACTGGAGAGTGCGCCGCTTGGGAGTGTGGCGGCGCTCCCGCCGAGGGTTCGGATCCCATGTGGAGACCGGTTCCCGCTCACTGGCTGAGCGCGGTGCGGGCGCAACACCGAGGGTTGCGATCCCGTTGCCGGTCCCCGGTACGGGCGCGACACCGAGGGTTGCAATCCCTTTACCGGTCAGTAAAAAAGACAAAAAAAGGGGAAAAAAAAAAAATAAGGACTTTTTGCTACAAAACCATAATATACTTATCACCTAAGAAAATTGACAGTTCCACTATATCATATGGATAGTTTATATTCAAATATCCCCAGTTTGTCTCAACAGTGTTTTTTAATGCCATCTTTCTCTAAACAGGATCCAATGGTTCATGCATTCTATTTGGTTAAGTCTCTTTAGTGTGTCTTAATAAAGAAAGTCCTTCTTCTGTGTGTGCATACCCCATACACGTGTGTGCACACTTGCCCACACTGTTTTGTTTAACTACACTTTTTTTTTCCAACCACATTGATTTTTTTTTTAAGAGACCAGGCATCATCTTGTGGCATATTGTACATTTTACATTTGTCTGACTGTATTCTCATACTGTTGCTTAAGTCATTTTTCTATCCTCTGGATTTGTTGTAACATATAAGTCAGATATAAAATGTTGGTTAGATTCAGGTTAAATTTTTTGGCAAGAATACTTCATTAGTGATGTTATGTACTTTATATTGCATCCCATTAGGAGCCACATAATGTTAAGTTGTTCCACATTTATTGATGCTTAGCTTGCTCTCTTAGTTAAGGTCACCACTTTCAAATCTTTCTGTTGTAAAGCTATGGCATCCCTTTGCAGTTAACAAGTAATCTGTTGGGTAATTACTTGGGTATCATGCAAATGTATATTCTCCCCAAGCTTTACACTAATGGTTTGATTATCTATGATCTTCTTAGCCTGAATCAAATCTTTCTTTTTGGGTTGCAGAATGTTGATTTTCTAATTCTACTCTTTTTTTTTTTTTTTAATTTTTTTTTTAGTGGTATTCTTCTATTAAGAAGAGGTTTCCCTCATCAGTGGGGAATGAACGTTAAATTTTTTGAAGTTCACGTTATCCCAAACTTGGCCAATTACAGGAGACCCTTTAAGCTGGCTAATGTGTCCTGTTGACATGACCCTATAATAGTATTTCCTACCTTTCTGGCTAAAGATGATGTCTCAGGATGGGATTAGCCATTTCTCCTAGGAACCTTGGTTCCTTTTGTAGAAGAATGGTATTTAGAAGCCAAGATCTGGGTGCTAAGTTCATTGCTTCTAGGGCTTTATGACCTCTAGGGATTGAATGACTGACTAAATGAATGAAAGAAATAATGGATTTATACTTGTATTGATATTTTGAGTTCAATTTTAGCATTAGAAGATTCTTCTTTGATTTTATACTTGCATCTCAATTCTCTGACAATGAAAATCTTGCTTCCTAAAAATAGTCATTTATTTATTTGCCTTCCTCCACAATATAGATGAAATGTATTTTTTATGTGTAGATGTAAATAAAATGTCACAAGATCGGAGAAAACACTGAGTAATGTTTAAGACATCATTGCAATTCTGATTGTTCTTACAGTGTATCTGACTAAGGGTATACAAAGTATAGAGTGGTTATCTTACTAATTTGGTATGTAGTTAGGCTAATTTGTTTCAGTTCATTTTCAATTTGGGATGCAGAGCTTTCTTTTGCCTTTTCAATGTAATTTTATTTAAGTTTATAAAAACATTTACATGCTTAAAAGTAAAAATTATATAAAGAAGTATAATCAGAACTTTCACTTTCATCACTATTCTCTCTACACTGTTCACTCTCTTGCTGTCTTTGGGAAACATTTTTACTAGTTTCTCGTTCATCCTTCCAAGTGTTTCTTTTGGTAAAAATAAGTGTGTGTGTGTGTGTGTGTGTGTGTGTGTGTGTGTGTGTGTGTGTGTGTGTGTATATAAATGTATATGCATGTGATGTTTGAATGTATATGCATTCTTATTTCTCCATCTTCTTTACATTGCTCTTTGTTTTTTATCTGGAAATTGAAGAGATCACTCTAAAACAGTTTTTTATTTTTATTTTTGCTGTTTGCGTATTACTTTATTGCTTGAATGAAGTGAGTTTTATTTGATAGTACTTTTCTGATGCTCATTTAAGTTGTTTTTAATCTTTTGCCGTTAGATATAATCTCATAGCAATCAAACTTGTACATATGTATCATCAGGATTAAGGATTAATTCCCAGGTGTGAG